GGGGGCTGGCGTTGTGTTGGCATTGCACTGGGTGACGTTTGGGGGGGTTGGCGTTGGGCTGGGTGACACTGGGGGGGCTGGCGTTGTGTTGGCATTGCACTGGGTGACGTTTGGGGGGGTTGGCGTTGGGCTGGGTGACACTGGGGGGGCTGGCGTTGTGTTGGCATTGCACTGGGTGACGTTTGGGGGGGTTGGCGTTGGGCTGGGTGACACTGGGGGGGCTGGCGTTGTGTTGGCATTGCACTGGGTGACGTTTGGGAGGGTTGGTGTTGGGCTGGGTGACACTGGGGGGGCTGGCATTGGTTGACATTGCACTGGGTGACGTTTGGGGGGGCTGGTGTTGGGTGGCATAGGGAATTGCTCCCAGCCTGAACGACTGCACGGGAGGCGCTGGTGCTGCTGCGCTCACCCAACGCTTGGTGTCCCTGCAGTCCATCGTCACCCAAGTGAGCGCAGCCCACGACCGGCAGCTCCTGTGGGCGTCCAACGAGGCGGCCGTGCTGCGGCTGCAGGCCCTCCTGCGCGGCTTCCTGGCACGGCGGCGATTCGCGGCCCTGCGGCAGCAGCAGAAGGCAGCTGTGAGGATCCAGGTGGGCGGCACAGCCGGGTCGGTTTCTTCTTGGGGTAACGAGGACAGAGGTCTGACCTCGCGTGGCAACAGGGGAGGGTCAGGTTTGGGTCTGGGAGCAGATCTGGAAGATGGGTTGTGTCGGTCCGGTTGCCGGGGGTCGCCACCCCTGGAGATGTTCAGAGCTGCAGAGAAGCGGCGCTGAGGGACGTGGAGGTGGGGATCGGTTGGGGTCAGACGCGGTGATGAGGGATGTGGATTTTGGGCACGGAGGTGGGGATTGGTTGGGGTCAGACGCGGTGATCTTGGAGGACTCCTCCAAGCGGGGTGACTCCAGCAGTGGCTGCGGTGGGGGTGGCTGGGCGGTGGGCTGGGGTTTTGTGGATCTTCCCCCAGCCATCATGATTCAATGATGGCACCGTGGGCTGGCGGTCGCACTGGGTGACGTTGGAGCTCCCTTCTGAGCTCGGCGACTCTCTGGGTGCACGGCATGGGGATGGTTGATGGTTGGCCTCGATGACCTTGGGGTTCTTTTTTAACCTTAGTTATTTAATCGCTCTATAACTGAGCGCAGTGGGGATGAGTCGATGCTTGGTCTCAATGGCCATGGAGATCTATTCCAGCCTTAATTACTTAACGATTCTACAACTGAGCGCGGTGGGGATGGGCCGATGGTCGGACTTGTTGGAGGCAACGTCTAAGATCATCAAGTCCAACCACCAACCCGTCCCACCGTGCCCACAGACAGGGGTCTTTTCCAACAGCAGTAGCTCTGCAGGGGTAGGAGCGGGGCTGCCGGGATGGGTTGTGGTCGCCAGGATGGCCGTGACCACGGTGGTCTCTTCCAACCTCAGCCGTTCTCTGGCTCTCCCCCCAGGCTTGCTGGAGGGGCTACCGGCAGCGCAAGGCTTACCTGCAGCGCCTGCGCTTCCTGCGAGCCCACGTGGACGCCGTGATCAAGGTTGGCCTCCTCTGCCTTCACCCCCTGCTCCCACCTCCGTGTCGCCAGCGATGAGCGCGGCGTCCCTCCCTGCTTTGTGCTGCTGGGGGGAGCGGTGCAGCTGGGCAGCACTGGGGGGCCGTGCTCCCAGTATGGGGTGACCCAGTGCCCCCGGTATGGGGTGACCCAGTGCTCCCAGTATGGCGCACAGAGACACAGCGCTTCCCAGTATTGAGCACAGGGACTCAGCGCCTCTGAGCACAGTGTGACCCAGTGCTCCCAGCACAGGGCACAGGGACACGGTGCTTCCAGTATTGGCCCCAAAGACCCAGAGCTTCCCAGCATGGCTGGAGGTACGCAGTGCTCCCAGTCTGGGCCGACCCAGCGCTCCCAGTAGCAAGCCCAGAGACCCAGCCTTGACCCTGCGGTGCCGGGGGGTTTGGGTGTGTGCTCCCAGTATGGGGCGCAGGGACCCAGTGCTCCCAGTATAGTGACCGAGTGCTTCCCAATGATTTCCCAGTGTGGGGCAGGGGCACCCAGCGCTCCCGGTGCTCCCAGGATGAGAGCAGTGCCTCGGTGCTCCCAGCTCCCTGCCCTCTGTGCATCAGGCCGTGCTGCTCCTGTGGTCCCACCCCAGCTCTGCGCTCCCTGCTGGGCTCTGAGCGGCCGCACCGTGCAGAAGCAGAGCTGTCCCTCCTTCTCCCACCCCCACGGCTGCCCCATGTCTGTCCCTCCCTCCCCCCCCCCCCACTGGTTCTGAAGGAGCGTCTCCCCCCAGATCCAAGCGGCTGTGAGGATGTGGAGGGCTTGGAAAAGGTACCAGGAGAGGCTGCGCCACTTCAGGAAGAACGTGAGCGATGGATGGGGCTGAAGCCCGTCCTGCTGTGGGTGCTGCACCCCGCAGCCCCTGGAGGAGTCCTGCAGAGGGAGGAGGGTGGTGGTGGGCGAAGGAAGTTATGGCAGCGCGGGGTGGTGTGCGCTGCGATGGGCAGGGAGAGGAAAAGGCTCCAAAAACCCAACGGAGGCTTTGAGGTCTCTGATGGAGGGAGGGTCTGGGGGGGGAAGGCTGTGGGCACACAGTGCAGGGATGGAGCTGACAGCTGGAAGGGCTGAGGGGGGATCCCTGAGAGACCCTGGGGTCTGGGTGCCACCACCGTGGGGTCTGGGTGCCACCAAAGGGTCACATCCTGATGCTCTTGTTGGTGTTGGCAGCTCGGAGCTGTCATTAAGATCCAGGCTTTTGTGAGAGCTAACAAAGCCCGCGGGGACTACAGGATGCTGGGTGAGTGCGGCTGGGGGTGAGGGGGGGGGTGGGTGTGTGCTCCCAGTACGGGGCACAGGAACACGGTGCCTTCCCAGTAAGGGCTGTCCCAGCGCTCCCAGTAAGGGCTGTCCCAGCGCTCCCAGTAAGGGCGGTCCCAGTGCTCCCAGTAAGGGCGGTCCCAGTGCTCCCAGTCCCTGCCTGCTCCCACCTGGGGCCGCACGCCGATGTTGCTGTGCTGCTGCAGTCCATGAGCAGAGCCCTCCGCTGGGCGCCGTGCGGCGCTTCGTCCACGTCCTGGAGCAGAGCCAGCACGACTTTGTGGAGGAGGCGGAGGTGCTGCGGCTGCGGGAGGAGGTGGCCAAAAGGATCCGTGTGAGCCAGCAGCTGGAGGGCGACCTGAGCCTCATGGACGTCCAGATCGGGCTGCTGGTCAGGAACCGCGCCACGCTGCAGGTGGGGAGCAGGCAGGATGGGGGGGGGTTGTGGCTTCTTCTCTGCAATAGCGCTCGGGCACCTGAATGGGCTGCCAGGGGGGGCGCCATCCCTGGAGGGGTTGGGCTGCCGGGGTGGGGTTGGACCAGATGATCTTCAGGTCGTTACGGTTGGAGAAGAGCTGTGGGGTCACCCAGTTCCACTCCACAGCCCCCCCTCGCTGCACACACTGCCAGTGGAAGAGACCCCTCCCAGCGGGTGCTGGGTGCTGGGGGCGCCCATGGTTGGGCTGGGCCATAGAATCATAGAATGGCCGGGCTTGGAAGGGACTCCAGGCTGACGGAGCTCCAACCCCACCCTGCTGCCAACCTCCCCACGTTTCACAGCAGCCCAGGCTGCCCAGGGCCCCATCCAGCCTGGCCTCCAACCCCTCCAGGGATGGATGGGGCATCGCAGCCTCTCTGGGCAGCTGTTCAGCCCCTCACCGCTCTCCCAGCACACAACTTCCCTGAGCCCCAGCCTCCAGCTGCCCTCCCTCCGCTTCCAGCCGTTCCCTGCTCTCATCTCCCCTGCCCAAGAGCTGCCTCCCCTCCTGGCTGCAGGCTCCCTGCAGGCGCTGCAGGCTGCACTCAGCTCAGCCCCAGCTCCTCTTCTCCATGCTGAACGAGCCCAGCTCCCTCAGCCTGGCTTTGCAGGGAGTTGCTGCAGCCCCTGCTCATCTCCAGCTCCTCTGGACCCTCTCCCACAGCTCCCTGTCTTTCTTGTCCTGGGGGCTCCAGCCCTGGATGCAGTGCTGCAGACAGAGCCTCAGAGAGCAGAGCAGAGGGGAACGATCACCTCTGTGTCCCTGCTGCCACCCCTCTGCTGATGGAGCCCAGGACCCCGTTTGTTTCCCAGCTGCAGTCACACCCTGCTGGCTCATGTTCAGCTTTTCATCGCTCAGGACCCCCGGGTCCTTCTGTGCAGGGCTGCTCTCAAGGACAACCCAGTGCTCCCTTATGGCCCATCTCGGTGGTCTTTTCCAAGCGCACCGATGCTGGGGGTGGGAGTGGTGGGGGGGATCAGGGTGGTGGGGGGGTCAGGGTGGTGGGGGGGTCGGGGTGACCCACGGGTCTCTTCCAGCCATAGCAATGCATTGGTTCCCCCCTGCAGGAGGTGGTGTCGCAGTGCGGGAAGCTGACCAGGAAGAACAGGGAGCAGCTGTCGGAGCTGATGTGCCTGGACAAGCAGAAGGGGCTCAAATCTCTCAGCAAGGAGAAGCGGCAGAAGCTGGAGGCCTACCAGCACCTCTTCTACCTGCTGCAGGTGGGCTGGGGGGCAGAGGGTCCCTGCTGCCCGCCTCTCTGAGGTGCTGGGACTGAGCACAGCTCTCCGTTCCGCTCCTCCCCTGCAGACGCAGCCCGGGTACCTGGCCAGGCTGCTCTTCCAGGTGCCTCAGAACAAATCCACCACGTTCCTGCAGCCCGTCATCTTCACGCTGTTCGGCTACGCTTCCCACCCGCGGGAAGGCTTTCTGCTGCTGCAGCTCTTCAAGGCGGCCCTGCAGGAGGAGATCAGGTTGGGGGGGGGGGGGTGACCCCGCGCAGGGTCTGCTGTGGTGAGGAGACGTGAGGACGGGTGTTGAGGTTGCTGGGGAAAAAAATAGGTTAATTTTGGATAGATTTGCAAAAAGCTCCGTTTTAGTCGGAGTCAAACACTGCAGGTCTCCAAATGGAACATGAGGGGCTGCAGTCATTGCAGCTCCAAAATCTGACTGCGCAGACGCCCATTTGCTCTCCCTTAGCAGAATTGGGGGCTGCACCGCTGACCTGCCCGTCCCTGCTGCTTGGTGACGGATGCTGTGAGGGCAAAATGTGGGGGAAGGGACTGGTGGTCAGAAAGGCTTTTAGGGCCGCCCTTGCGCTCTCCTGGACTTTGTGCAGCCTTTGGCACTGCCCCGTCCCCGCAGAGAAGCTGGGATGGCAGCCGGTGGGCAGCCAGGCACCGGGGGGGTCCCACAGGGCTCCGTTCTGGGGCTGCTCCTAGGAACACCTTCGTTGACCTCAGTAGGTCTGCAGATGGCAGCAAGCTGGAAGGGCTGCTGGTCTGCCTGAGGGCAGAAAGGCGCTGCAGAGGGACCCGGATAGACTGGATCGATGGCCAAGGCAAAGTGATTTCAGTAGGGCCCAGTGTGGGGTCCTGCATTTTGGTCACAGCAACCCAGGCGACCCTGCAGGCTTGGGGAGGAGTGGCTGAAAGCTGCCGGATGGACAGGGAGCTCGGTGTGCTGATGGCAGCGGGCTGAAGGCGAGCCTGCAGTGTGCGCAGGGGGACGAGAAACCAACGGCGTCCTGGCTGGGATCAGGAGCGGTGAGGGGAGCAGGGAGGTCGTCCTGCCCTGCGCTCAGCGTTTGTGAGGCCTCAGCTCCAGTTCGGGTTTGGGCACCTCTGTACAGAAAGGGCACGGAGGGGCCGCAGCAGGGCAGAGCAGGGCAGCGAGGCTGGGGAAGGGCTTGGAGAAGGTGGGCTGTGAGGAGAGAGCGAAGGAGCGGGGCTGTTTGGTGTGGGGGAGAGGAGGCTGAGGAGACCTTGCTGCTCTCTGTCCGTCCCTGAACTGCAGCACCACTGACAGGACGGGGGGAAACGGCCTCACTGTGCCAGGGGAGGTTCAGGTTGGTGTCAGGACAAACCTGTGTGCAGATAAGGGCTGTGAAGCCCTGGGATGGGCTGTGAGGGAGGGATGGAGGCCCCATCCCTGGGGGCGCTGAGGTCTGGATGTGGTGCTCGGCCTGGGTTCACAGAGGGCTGCTGGAGGCGGGCAGTGCGGCCGGGCCGTGTTTGGACTCGGTGTCTTTTCCAACCTGAGCAGTTCAGGTGTTCTGTGAAAAACCCCTCACAAACTGACTGAGAACGGCAGCCGCTGCTCAGCCAGCTGTTGGTGCGGTGGCCGTGGCTGCTCCCTGCGGGCAGATTCCAGCAAGGTGCTGGCGGAATCGCTGAGCTGACAGCAGGGAGCGTCAAAAAATCGTTCTGCAGCCGAGAATTCGCTCTGTCACGGAGCGTCCACAGCTGCTGTCGTTTCCACACCAATAAATAGGAGGCGTCAGTTCTGGAGCGGGCAGCTGAACCACGCCGCGTCCGGCTCCATCCCCGCGCCCGTCTCTCTGCAGGTGCAAAGTGGATCACGTCCACGACATCCTGACGGGGAACGCCGCCGTCATCCGCATGGTGGTCAGCTTCTACCGCAGCGCCCGCGGGCAGAGCGCCCTGAGGCAGATCCTGGGCCGCCCGGTGCGGGAGGTGCTGCAGGATGCGACCCTCAGCATCCGAACCGACCCCGTGGACATCTACAAGGCGTGGGTCAACCAGGCCGAGTCACAGAGCGGGCAGAGGAGGTGAGGTGGGGCGGGGGCTCAGCTGGTGCCGG